GCCAAAGTGAAGAAACTCACTCTCATCCCTCTTATATTCCTCATCTACTTCGAGGTTGCCGGTGGTCCCTACGGCGAAGAGCCCGCGGTTCAAGCGGCGGGCCCCCTCCTTGCTCTCCTGGGCTTCCTCATATTCCCCTTCATCTGGAGCGTCCCCGAAGCCCTAATCACTGCGGAGCTAACCACCGCCTACCCTGGCAACGGCGGCTTTGTGCTGTGGGCGGAACGGGCCTTCGGCCCCTTCTGGGGCTCCCTAATGGGAACGTGGAAGTTCCTGAGCGGTGTCATCAACATCGCATCTTTCCCCGTCCTCTGCATCGAATACGTCCAAAAACTCTTCCCCGTTCTCCGATCTGGCTGGCCCCGCCAGTTGGCAGTCATAGCTTCAACCCTGGCTCTCTCATTCCTGAACTACACCGGCCTCACCATCGTGGGCAATGTCGCTGTGTTACTCGCTGTTGTTTCTCTCTCCCCCTTCGTGTTAATGTCCCTCATCGCCATCCCCAAGATTAAACCCCATAGGTGGGTTAGCTTGGGTCAGAAGGGTGTTAAGAAAGATTGGAACTTGTTCTTCAATATGCTCTTCTGGAACCTTAACTTCTGGGACAATGTCATTACCTTAGTCGGAGAAGTTGATAAACCGAACAAGACTTTCCCTTTGGCTCTTTTCGTTGCAGTCATTTTCACCTGCGTCTCCTACTTGATCCCTCTCTTCGCTGTCACCGGAGCAGTATCGGTTGACCAGAACCAATGGGAAACTGGGTTCCACGCGCAGGCTGCTGAAATTATCGCAGGGAAGTGGTTGAAAATCTGGATTGAAGTCGGGGCAGTGTTATCGGCAATTGGTCTTTTCGAGGCCCAGTTGAGCAGCAGCGCCTACCAGGTTCTGGGCATGGCGGAGATCGGGATTCTCCCCAAGTTTTTCGGAGTTAGGTCAAAGTGGTTCAACACGCCTTGGTTGGGAATTCTGTTATCTACTTTGATATCTATTGGTGTGTCTTACATGGACTTCACCGACATAATTTCTTCGGCGAATTTCTTGTACAGTTTGGGGATGTTGTTGGAGTTTGCGTCGTTTCTTTGGCTGAGGTGGAAGTCGCCCTCCATTGAAAGGCCTTACCGTGTTCCCCTGAAGCTGCCACTGTTAGCAGTGATGTGCTTCATACCCTCTGGTTTTCTGGTTTTCATAATGGTCATTGCTACCAAAACTGTTTATTTGGTGAGTGGTGTGATGACTGTAGCTGGAATTGGGTTTTTCTTTTTAATAAAACTCTGTAAGACAAAGAAGTGGGTAGAGTTCAGCGTGGAGGAACAGAAAGAAATCCCCAATGAAAGGCATGTGTTTTGATGGAATCAAAATTCAAATTGTAATTGTTTAATGTTTAATGTTTAATCTTTGACATTCAAGTCCAGTAGGAGAGTTCTGAGTTATGAGTTAGTTACCAGAATGTGATTATAATTCACAGAAAACTTTAATATGTATATATAGGAGTTGATGTTCATATATCCTTATTTATTTGACACTTGCTACTAACATTTTTGTTTCTTTCTTTAACTATAAGACGAAAATGGCTTCTGAGAAAAAGACCTGTGCTTTGCCAATTTTATCGAGAGTCTTTGTCGCTTACAAATCGGTGATAAACTAGTGTTGAACTTTCTTCAAGCCGCAAGCCGAGAACATCAACTTCATTAGATATGCGAAATTATTAATTTATTAAATTGAACAGAATTTTGCGTGCTTACATCTTATCAATATAATATGTTTCTGTTAACTTTTTTTTTATATTATTTTACTTTGATTTGCATGTGTATTTCTGTTAACTTTTTTTATTTGTTAATTTGTTTACTTTATATAAACTAAATTGCAATATTTTCAAAACGTGTCTATCATTTTAGAACTATATTATTTTTTTAATCAAAATTTAATAAACAATGTCATAGGGAGAGCCAAAACAAAAATAAATCCCCTGTGGAGGCAAGTGAGGTTGATGAGTAGCCTAAATTTTTTTTATTTGGTGTTAAAACACTGATTTTCTTTTTACGTTTTGGATGTTTTAACCGTTACATATTTGGATCGCATTAAAAAAAAATTAAATTAAAATAAATAGTCGGAAAATTTTCGTTAAAAAGAACTTAGGTTTCCTTAAGAAAAATTATTAATTATATTAGATACTAGTACAACTTGAGTAAAAAATTTAATTCTTTTAATATCTATTAATAATTAAAATAATTAAACATGTGTATTTTTTATTATTTTCATATGTATTTATTAAAATTAATTAATATTAATATGTAATTAACCTTATTCTTTAATTTATATAAAAATATTTATAATTTTAAAACATTAAAATATATAATATTTGAATTAGTTACAATTTATTTTTCATTATTTTTTAAGTACTTTATTTGAATAAAATAATTAAAATATTTTATACTTCAATTTTTTTATTTTAATAAAATAATTAAATTTATTTTAATAAAAATACTTATTTTTTACTTTGTCGTTTTCCTCCTATCGTTTTTTTGGCATAGAATATTAAACACAAGATCAAGTTACGATATATAATAGAGTAATTTTGAAATGAAACTGAAACTAAAACTAAAACTAAAACTGCACATGCAGATATTTATAACAAACTCATTGATTACAAGTTATTGAGTTATCTTAGCATAAATCCCTGACAATTATATCAAGAACTTGTTGATGATTCAATATAAATCTAATTTATTCAATAAGTGCACTAAGTTTTACTGTAGCACAACAAAGTGGTATCCATAGGAATTTTGTCTGAATAAAACAATAACTTATGATATATTTGAATTTATAATCAAATAATAACAATAACAATAAAAGTTGACAGATTTGAAAGCAGATATTTGCATAAGGAATAACATATTTTATCTTGATAAGAATGTTGAGATTAAACTTGACTAATCTTCTTCTATTGTTATCTACTTATTTATAAGTTACATTCATTATTTTAGTGTTCATGAAACTTCTCTTTATGATAATACTAAATCCATTTTTGGCATTTAGTAGTTAAGGTTACGAGACTCAATGTGATTCCTTAATCTTTAATTGAATGATTCTTAATATTAAGTGTTGAATATAGTGAAAACTATGTATATGATTAATTTCCCTTGTATTGAATACACACATAAGGTTCTCTGTTTATAATAGAAGAAATGTGGGCTAATCTCAAACAAATAAAAAATAATAACAAACTAATTAAAGATAAAATATAAATATAAAATAACGATAATATATCTAACATTCCCCTCAACCTAATGCATACAAATAGTATGTATCAAGCTTGTTACTAATATAATCCACAAAGACTTAGTGGAAATATTTGTTTCTGCACTTGAGTGACACCAAAGGCTAATGATTTGCAAGACGACATAAAAGACAAAATATCAACCCACAAGACTCCCCTGAGCAATAAATTTGAGAGGTTGCTCCATGTAAATCTCTTATTGTAAATCGTCGTTGAGGAATGCATTGTTGACATTTAGTGGATAAAGATGTCATCGTTGGAGAGCCACCACGGTTATAAATAAACTTGTTAAAATAGAATGACTCAATTTCTCACACCAAGAGGGGGGTGAATCGGTGAAGTATAAAAAATAAAACTTTCAAAATCTTTTTCACCAAAATGATGCCTTTAAACTTTTCTTGAAACGCAAGTTAAAAGATTTTCAGTGCAGCGAAAATTTAATCGAATGAGTATAAAGTATAAATCATTCAATGTAAAAGAATAGGGATAAGAAAGATAAAACATTGTGTTTTTATACTGGTTCGACCAAGCCTACATCCAGTGTCCTTCCAACCACATGAAGCCAATGCACTATAATGATCAAGGTTTTTACAACAAGGTTTGTATAGAGACCTCACGTCAAAAATATAAAACACCTCTCTAACCCTTTAATCAAAATATAGGCAGTATACACCTAGACTAGCAGCAAGAATCCCCTCTCCTATAGTCTATCCTCTTTGAGTCACCCTCAAAGTCAAGAACACCATTGTTCTTCTTCCTGTAATCACAACAAGGAACACAACCCAAATAGATTGTAGAACCTGATCTTGCCGTAGACACCCAAATGTGCAGATAGTTCAGACTTTGAAAACACAACAACCTTGCTCTTCAAGAAATCACAAGCAGTTGATCACCTCAGTCAATCTTATTTTCTTGGAGCTTTTCCTCTTTCTGTGAGAATCAAACTTTCTGCAAAAGAATATGAAAATGTCAAAATCAATAAAGTCCTTACAGATATCAAATTTGCGTCAATTTATAGTATAACACATCTTTGACGCATTTTAATTGACTAAGCTACTAATGCAGTCAAATATAACAAGTCTGTTATAGCAGTTAGCAGCACTCAAAGCAATTAATTGAATTATCAATTAATGCAGTTGAATGACATTTAATGCTTGGTCAACATATTTAAAAATATGACCGTTAGACAGTTATATCAAGCATTAACAGAATTTCAAACCAGTAGTAGACTTAGTCGAATGCAACACGCATATAATCGACTATGTAATAGTGTAAATCATAGTTTTGAAAATCTTTCTCTTTGAAAAATCTCACAGCACACTTTGAAAAAGGTTTGTACAAAGACACGAGTTTTAACCGACTCACCCCATAATGAAATTGACTTAAAACCGTTGTTTTGCCACACAATTAAAATTCAACATTAGTGCTTGTGGTTTTTCTCATCCAGAAACATGTGTCATGCATTCATGTATAAAATCACATATATTATAGTGAAATGTAGTGAAATGCAATGAAACACACAACAACACAGTAACAACACAATCATGTTCTCATATTCACATATAACATGTAAGCATAGAACATATAACACATAATTCACATGTGTTATTAATTATGCGTTGTCATCATCAAAAACTCAAATATTACTAAGATTGTGGGTTCAGCTAAATGAGTGCTCCACCTATAAACAATCTACACAAAACTAA